GAAGAAAAATTAGAAATATATCTACTCCAAACCTTACAGAAATTTATTTCAGGTAATCTGGAAATTCACCAATAAAAGTCTTTTAAATTAGTGGTTCTCAACCCTAGCTGCACATTAGAATTACCTGGGAACTTTAAAAAAACACTGGTCCTACCCACCAGATATTCTAATTTGTAAACCACGTTGAGAATTATTGTCATGGTTCCATATACTTCTTGCTTCTATATACATCTTGAGTTTCACTGTATATACATCTTGAGTATCATCAACTTAAGCATCTGAGGTCATAGTACACATCATTATGATTACAGAATGGTTAAATATCATGTGAACTCTAATATCAACAAGCTACTTTTGTACCTGACCCTCAACCATTCACTCATTTTTTTTTTTAAAGATTTTATTTATTTACTTGACAGAGAGAGGGGACACAGAGAGAGAGGGAACACAAGCAGGGGGAGTGGGAGAGGGAGAAGCAGGCTTCCCGCGGAGCAGGGAGCCCGATGTGGGGCTCGATCCCAGGACCCTGAGATCATGACCCGAGTTGAAGGCAGACGCTTAACGACTGATCTACCCAGGCACCCCTCAATCATTCTTTTAACAGATATTTGTTAAATGTCTATTATTAAATAACTTAGAATAATATTGGAGATGAAGTGGACTCACTTTATCAAAGCTTTGCCCCCATACTAAGCAAAAGGGACATACTAAATATGAGTTGGCATTTACTCCCAACAATAGGCTTTTGCAAGCTCTCCTGTAGGTTTAGTTGTGATCTTCTCACCTGAAATTCTCCTGACAAGACTCTGCGAGTATAGATGTTGCTGGTATAAGGTTCAATGGACTCATTATTTCCCAGAATCTGAGCAGTTGAAGCAGTAGGCATCGGGGCAATAAGTAAACTGTTTCTTATACCATACCTAAAGAAAAGGAGATTATTAGGTGCTGGTACTAAAACTACAATCTGCCAGGAAACCAGCTACTTCAAGTCACTGCAGTAAATGCAGATGCTATGAGTGACATCATACATGCATTAGACTCACATAATGACTTTTGAATTTTTTTTTTTAAGATTTTATTTGTTTGACAGAGAGAGACACAGCGAGAGAGGGAATACAAGCAGGGGGAGTGGGAGAGGGAGAAGCAGGCCTCCCACCGAGCAGGGAGCCCAATGCGGGGCTTGATCCCAGGACCTGGACTCATGACCCGAGCCGAAGGCAGACGCTTAATGACTGAGCCACCCAGGCGCCCCATGACTTTTGAATTTAACCCCTATAGAGATGCAACTCACAGTATGAATGGTATAGCTCGCCCCTCTCCTAAATGCCTGACTCCTAAACAAAATTAGCACAATTTTACTGCTGGCGATTCTTCTCATGCCATGACTTATTAGCACCTGATACACTAGCTTGCCCAAAGAAATAATAGAATGGCTGCTGAAGAGTCCCCACCTGTATCGGGGTACATTCATTCAACCCTCATTCTTTTCTACGTGCTCTAGGATCACTGTGCTAAGCCCTTTCAGGAAACATAATGATGTGAAAGTGGTCAGAATCTGACATCTATCACCAAAATTCTCCATAGGGAAAAATTATGTTCAAAGTATATTCCTGACTTCCTCTATTACGTCTTCAATCATAAGTTCCTAGAAGAAGCTTAACATCTTTTGACTCTATTCACTGCCAAAGAGAGTGCTTAAGGAAGAATATACTATCTGAACACTGAGAAATCTTCAAACTGCCCTTAGCTCGTCCTTCAAAGCTCAGCCTAAGAGATGCCCACTCTAGAACATCTTTCCCGACCAGGCAGAAAATATTAAATACAAAAGCCAAATATAAGTATTTCTTCTGCAAACATTTTCTATGACCTGTACCTTTATGTATACTTTACTTGTGCTACATGTTTCACCTTACTTAGTCTTAAGTTTCTCAAACACCAAGAGTTTGGTCTTTCCTATATTCTATACCTTTGGATTTATACAGTACTTAGCTTAAAGCTTCATATCCTAATGGAATCTGTACAACCGGGATCTTAATCTCACTTTGTCACTTTCTAGTTTTGAGGCATCAAGAAAACCACCAACCAACTTCATGTCTTACTTCCTCAGCAAAGTGGACAGTGATTTCCTGTCCAAAGATAGGAAAACGTTTTGAAAAGCCATGTATATAAAAGACACACCAAACTATGGAATTGTCTGTAATCATTAAAAACATTAGGTAGATCTGCATGTACTAAGAGAAAGATGTCCAAAATAAATCTTAGAATATGTCAAGTTTGATCATATTTTTGTAACAAAACTGTGCGCATCTGCAAATGTACTGAAAAAGGTCTAGAAAAATACACACCATTAACAATGGTTATCTCTGGTAAAAGGAATAAGTTGGTTTGTATTTGTTTTGTGGAACAAGTGGTTGGCAGAAGAGGTATAAAGAAGGACTTTCACCTTCCATTTTGTTTCTGTATTTGAACTTTGCTATTCATGTATTAATTTTGAAATTTTAAAAAGTTGTGTATAGAAAAATATCCATAGTATTTTGAGAAAAAAAATAAATAAATAAAATACATGTCCATTTTTGTAAAAGTTGAATTTGCATATAAATGTACCCAGGCACACACATTCAGAAGAAAGTCTGAAAGATGAAAGACAAAAAGATACAGATTTTTAGGAGGTGGTATTGGGATAATTTCATTTTACTCCCTTTCACACATACGTTTTCCAAAATGTTCTAACATGTATTATTAAGTAATAAAACAATTTTAAGGTAAATAGATATTTTTTAAAGAGTATTTTAAAGCTACTGCTTCCTTCTGTAAACATTAAACACTGCATATGCACTGACCCAGAGACAACAGGCTCATGAAGAAAGTGAAAACAACTTGTTTTATTATTCATTAAGCAAAACATGCTACCTGCCCTTAAATCTTTTATTAGTTTGAAAGGCCTTAAAAACCTCAAGTTTTACATTTTTCTTTCACAGTTTAACATATTACCCTCCAAAAGCTCTTCCAAATCCCTAACTTACTCCGATGACAACCAATTCAGCAAAAGCCATTTAGGTGCCCAAGGGAGTTAAGCAATAAATAAAAGTGAAAAACTTTTAAAAAGCAAGCACACTCGGAAATATGAAGTTTAATGAGAAAAAGAATTGCTTAATCCAGGTAGTTAAGCCCCTAAAACAAGATCAACTGATAATACCTACCATTTATTAAAATGCTTTCATTGCACCAATCAATTTGTAGGTTACTATTCATATATTATCTTACAAAGTATTTTTACAAAAATAGTTCGGTTGATAGGCCATTTTAGCCCCAGTTAAAAGAGAAAAAATGAGTTTCAGAAGTTAAAATGACATACCTAACTTCTGAAAGCCAGAATGAGAACCTAAACCCTCCTTACTTCAAAACTACCTTACATCTCTTCGCTTACTTTGCAATCTTCTCCTTGAGAAGTTTCCAGTCCCACAGGTCTGTGGGAGTAACATTCCACATATCATACTGGAGGATCTAGGGAATAAACAATGCAAACTTAGGACAAATCACTCTATAACAATTTAAAACAATGACAAAAACCAAATGACTAACTGCCATTCCCCACAACCCAACAAATGTCTTCTAGTAGAACCGTGTGAGGAATACAAGGTCCAGAGATTTCCCTGGACAAACTTTCATGCAGTCATATTGGTTAAAGGCAGCCTAAGAAACCTGGCTTATCTCTTCCCCATGTCCCTGATGTGAGCCCTCAGAGGATTCATATCATATCTACAAACCAGGAAATCCTAACATTCATGTAAGTATGTTGCTGAGATGCATTCTCTTTTTGTACAGTAAAAATGTTACTCTAATTTCATCTTTAATTGCCTTGATCTATTTACTTAGCTATTAAACACCTATTTTCAAACCACTGGATATCAGATTTCCTAAATATCAGCAGGAACATTAGGACTAAAAATAACATAACATTTTATTTTACACAGAAGAGACTCATACTACTAATAATAAAGGCAGTGTGGAAAGCAGAATTCTAAGACAGTTCCCAGCTTCTCACCCCCTGGTGCACAGGCCATGTATAATGTCCTCCTCCTGAGTGTGGACAAGACCTGGGAATATGATGGATGTCACTTACATAATTATGGCAAAGATGAAAAGTTTCTGCAGATGTAATTAAGGTTACAAATCAGTTAATTTTCAGTTACACAAAAGACAGATAGGATATCCTGAGTGTACCTGACCTATCAGATGAAAACCCTCAAAGAGCAACTGGACTGGGCCTTCTTGAAATGAGAGACTCTCCCTCCTACTGGCTTTGAAGAAGCACGATGTCATGAGTTCTACAGGTACAAACAAATGAATTCTGCCAAAAACCAGGTGAGCTTGGAAGAGGACTCTGAGCCTCAGAGGAGACTGCAGCCTCTATGAACACCCTGACTATAACCTTGTGAGACCCAAAGAAAACAACGTAGCTGAGGCAAGCCTGAACCCGACTCAAGGAAATGAAGATAATGTATGTTGTTTTTATCTACTAAATTTAGCAAAAGAAAACTACTACAGTTAGAATTCTTCTTAAGTCGCTTTTACCAATGACTAGTTCCATATAAAACATTAAAATAAAGGGGCATCTGGCTGGCTCAGTCGGTGGAGCATGAGACTCTTGATCTCAAGGTTATAAGTTCAAATCCCATGTTGGGTGTAGAGATTACTCAAAAATAAAATCTTGAGGTGCCTGGGGCTCAGCTGGTTAAGTGTCTGCCTTCAGCTCGGGTTGTGATCCTGGGGTCCTGGGATCAAGCCCCACGTGGGGCTCCCCGCTCAGTGAGGAGTCTGCTTCTCCTGCTCCCTCTGCCCCTCCCCCCAGCTTGTTCTCTCTCTCTCTCTCAAATAAATAATCTAAAAAATAAAATAAAATAAAATCTTAAAAAAAAACACATTAAAACAGAGTATAGTTTCCTATGGCTGGTATAACAAATTACCATAAATTTGGTGGCTTAAAATAATAAAAATCTGTGCTCACTTCGGCAGCACATATACTAAAATTGAAACAATACAGAGATTAGCCTGGCCCCTGTGCAAGGATGACACGGAAATTCATGAAGCGTTCCATATTTAAAAAAAAAAATTTATTCTCATAGTTCTGGAAGCCAGAAGCCCAAAATGAATATGTTGCGAGGACCATGCTCCCTTCAGAGGCTCTGGAGGAGATTCTGTTCTTTGCCTCTTCCAGCTTCTAGTGGCTGTCAGCATTCTTGGGTTGTGGCTGCATTACTCTGACCTCTGCCTCCATGGTCATGTTGCCTCCTCTTCTCTGTCTCTTGTAACAACTACTGTCACTGGATTTAGGGCCCACCTGGGTAATCCAGGATAATCTCATTTCAAAATCCTTAATTACATCTGCAAAGACCCTTCTGAAATCCAAAAAGGTAACACTCATAGGTCCAGGGATTAGGATGTGAACACATCTTTATGTAGGCTACCATTCAGCCTACTGTAAGAACCTACAGATAAAAAGAAATTTCATCCATATACTTACTCCTCTGCTGACTGGAGAGCCCTCATAGGTTTCATATGGGCCATGCTCCTTGGCCAGGTCACAGCTGGCTTCCAAGGCTCCATAATAAATGGTTTCAAAGATCTGCTTATTCAGTAGCTGGGCTTCTGGACTCTCAAAAGGATACCTCATCAGAATAAAAGCATCTGCCAGACCTTGTACCCCGATTCCAATGGGGCGATGGCGTTTATTTGATAAGCATGCCTTTGTGCCAACAGATTTAGAGAAGAAAGAGACATTACTGAACAGAAAAGGCAACATTCTGCACCAAATGATACATGCTCTTTTTTTATCTCTGTTTTCTCACACCATTCCAATGACAGCCGTTTAAATGATGACTGGCAGATCATGATATGATAAGCTCCCTCCAACTTGGGTTTCAAGAATTACCAATAAGCAGAGACCTCTATTCCTACCTCTGGGACAGGATAGTAGTTAATATCAATAATTTTATTCAAGTTTCGGACAATGACTTTGGTGACTTCAGCCAGCTTCTTAAAGTCATATGTGTGTTCTGACGTGACATACATATTCAGGGCCAGGGAAGCCAAGTTACAGACTGCAACCTGGAATGCAAAGAAAAAGGGTCAAGACTCACACAATTTTTATTTCTTCCCCCTGCGTCAATGACAACACCACGTAAGCCTCTGACACTATAAAATTTTTATCTTTATCTTCTCCCTCTTCATCGTTCATTCCTAAATCCCAGTACCTATTCACATACGAGCCGTCACATGCACCAGTGAAACAGGTGAGATAGAGCATCTGTGTTCCAGAGTCCACGGCTCTGTCACCAGACAGACCTCCCATCGGGCTCTAATTTCTTATGTGTATCTGTCTCAGTCAGTAGATGTGTGCTGTCCAATACAGTAGCCACTAGCCACATGTAGCTATTTAAATAAAATTAAAAATTCAGTTTCTCAGGGGCACTAGTCATATTTCTTGTGCTCAACAGCCACCAGATACATTTCCATCACCACAGAAAGCTCTTCCAAATTACACATTCCCACCTTACTTTCGTTGAGATTCTGGTAAGTTCCTAACAACAGGGGATCAAATTTGTGAATTTTGCAAAAGCTCTTCAGGTGATTTTCCACTACACGACACTAGGTGGTAAGCTTTTTCAGGAAAGAAACGTATCTTATTTAACCTTATATTTTTAGTACTAGTACCACATCTGGTATATAATAAATGCTTAATAATGTTGAATGAATACACTTCCTTTTCCATTTTGGACTATCTTACCCCAAAATCTCAACTCCTCTCACCTAGACTCCCTCATGCCCTTCATATCTACTCAATTCTACACGTTGCCTAAGTACCCAGTTTTAAAGTATAGCTCGGATTGCATAAGTCTGATAAATGCTAGGGAGAAAAATAAGGCAGGAAAAGACAAAGGGTTCTAGGAATAAGGACAGAAGGAGTGCCATTTTTAAATAGAGTTGTCAAGGAAGACCTCACTGAGAATGAGACATATGAACAAAAACTGAAAAGGTTAGACAGCAAGCCACGTGGCTATCTGGTGGGAGTGAGCATTTTAACATTCGAAGTAAACAGCAAAAATCCTGAGGAGGGAATGTGCTTGATATACTTGGAAATTAGTAGGGCTGGAGCACAGTGAGCAAGGGGGAAAGTAACAGTAGCTGAGATGGGCATACTCAGTTGTGCATGAACCCACAGGGCACTGTAAGAATTCTGGGTGGAAACGAATGAAGTACTGATACATACTACAACACAGATAAGCCTTGAAAACATGCTAAGTGAAAGAACCTGACACAAGAGACCACCATGTTATATGATTCTATTTATAGAAAATGTTCACAAGGGCGCCTGGGTGGCTCAGCCGTTAAGCGTCTGCCTTCGGCTCAGGTCATGATCCCAGGGTCCCGGGATCGAGCCCCATGCTGGGCTCCCTGCTCAGTGGGAAGCCTGCTTCTCCCTCTCCCACTCCCCCTGCTTGTGTTTCCTCTCTCGCTGTGTGTCTCTGTCAAAATAAAATCTTTGAAAATGTTCACAAGAGGCAAATCCAGAGGCAGAAAATAGATTAGTAGTTGCCAGGGGCTGGGGGAAGAGGATAATAGTGAGTGACTGCTAATGGGTACAAAGGTTCTTTCTGGGTTGATGAAAAGTGTTCTAGACTTAGATATTGGTGATAGTTACACAACCTTGTGGATAAACTAAAAAACACTGAAATATACACTTAGAAGGGTGAATTTTATGGTATGAAAATTGTATTTCAATTTTTAAAAAATGAACAAACTCTGGATGGGTTGGAAAGTCAAAGAGGAGTGTTGAGTGGAGGAAGGATATGATCTGATTTTTGTTTTAAGAAGGGTCACTCTAGTCTCTGTAGCATAATCTATTTTGTACAACAGTTACTTGAGTACAGTATATGCCAATTTTCTCCAACAATGAATTATATGTTTCCAAAGGGCAGGGCCTGAGCTATAATCATTTACATCCCAGAGCACTTGGTACAGTGTCTTGCACATAGCTGGTACTCAGTAACTCTGGCTGAATTAAACCGCGACCTTAGCAGTATGTTTAATTCACTTACCATTTTCTTCCCAACTTTTCATTTGTCATGTGTGTTAGGTCCTAGCATACGGGATCTGCTCCTTCCTCATTTCCATAGTTTACATCCAACATCCAAGCAGCCTGTCATCCAACCACTGCAATAATCTCCGTAAACTAATCTCCAACCTCCTCTCACACCAAGACACTCTATTACGAGAAGCAAGAACTATCCTTCTCATCCTAGCATTTTGACACTATTTTCCTTTCAGGAACCTACAAGGGCTTCCTACTCTGTGACATGCCAGACATTTCACCTGCTATCGCCCCTCCCCCAGCCACAGCCATCTCTCCACATACCAAACCATAATGCATTTGCTCCATCAGAACAAACTTATTTGACACTCTCTGCACAAAACCTATTCCTGATCCCAGTCTCTGATCTGACAGGCTGTTCTTCCCAAATGGAAAGATTTTCCATAAACTTTTTTTTTTTTTAAATCAAGTCTCTGTCCCATCTCTAGCCTCACCTCTTCTGTGAATCGCCTTAAAGATCTGACGTTAGAATTCTGTCTCACCATTCACTGAAAGGACTCTCTACCTGCTTACATACTTTAAACTGAATGAGCATCCTGACACATTCTTGTGTTTGTCCTAAACCACCATAACTGAACACCGAGAAAAGATTATTACAACAATGTGTGTGTAAGAAAAAAAGTGAGTCTTTTCTACATGGCTTAGACTATAAGATATTTAAGGGCACAGATTACATCTGTTCCTTTCTTTGTCATCTCTATTTTAGTGCCCTTCTACTTATAGCAAACTATGAAAACTCCCTTCCCCTATCTCAAGTGAAATCAAGTGAGGGATTCACAAATAATAACTGCCTAAGATTCTTCTCTCAGGACTCTGGGCAGAAATTTGTCTACCTACCTCATCTTTGCTGGTATACTCTACTATTTCTGTGCACAGGTTGCTGCATTTGATTGTTCCCAGGTTCTGCTGGTTGCTCTTCCGATTACAGGAATCTTTGTAGAGCATGTACGGGGTACCTGTCTCTGTCTGAGACTCAATGATGGCATACCAAAGCTGCTGAGCTTTTACAACCTTGCGGACACGACCCTGTTTCTCATAACTGAAAGGCAAAGCTAATATTATTTTAATATTCCCTAAGAAAATCTTTATTGCAGACAACTTGAAGACACTAAAATATAAAATTATGAAAGCTCTTAAATGTTTACTGTGTTCTGCTAAGACAGAACAAAAGGCATAGGATATTCATTTTACTACGGCTAGTGACAAAGGAAAATCAGGCAGCTCGGGACCCATTAGAATACACCCAAATCCCACTAAATCACAATACCCTTCATAAGGAAAAGGAATAACACCTCAAGTAGTCAAATCTACTGTGCTATTATTTAATGAACTAGTAACATGGGTTCTAGCTGTTCTTGATTTCTGGGGGCAATATAAAGCATAACTTTTTAAATCAAATGTACTGTGAGACAAAGCAAAATAATAACCCTTGACCTTAATTTTTATAAGTCTCAATTAAAAACCAAAGCACCTCTTTGTAAGTCACAAAATTTTAAGAAAGAAGATAGAAACCAAATTTTGGTAGCAATCTGACCAAAATAAAATTATTAATCACATTCTCTCCTGGATGTTTCTGAAGATTCCTAGAAACTGGGGCTAATGATTGATAACGTTTTGAAATTTGAATCCCCCAAATAAAAGAAACACATGATTAAAAATTATTACTTCATATTTTTCCCATACCTTTCATATAGCTTCTCAAATTCCTCTCCCCAAACCTCATCCAGACCAGGACATTCATTTGGACACATCAAAGACCAATCCTACAAAGGGAAGAACCCATAAGAGACTTGAAATAACCAACCGCACACAGTCCATTAGGAACATGGCAAGGGATAGAGTGGCTTCCATAGATAGACTCTCTTGGAAATCTGCTGTAGAAATAACCATTTTGGGCTCAGGCTCAAACATCTAGTTCTGCCTGTTTATACATGACCTTTTAAGCATTTAGG